TCCTCTTTGACCTACCAGTAATTTACCAGGATATTCTGTAATAAACACTCGACTTCCTGCTCCCAGTCGCCTGCTTACCTGCTTTTTGCATTGTTCAGGGTTGAATAGACTTTACCATTTTTGCAACTTTTACCTGGCTTTTCCTGTAGAATTTGACATTTTAACATTAACAGGGAATAAATAGCACTCTCTCCACCACCTCCACCTCACCTCCTTCAGCTGTTGCTTGAAAATCTCTGGCCCTGCGTTGTCAGTGCCTTGTTTAGACAGGAGAAAACCATGTATTATTAAGCAGCAGTTGCAATATATTAACAATAATGGAGCTGTGCTAGTGTGACATGCTGGTGCCTATTGTGACATTCAATAAAGTGTGATCACCATAATGAATTAACGAGCCAGATGTTTCCTTTCACAATCCAGCCGGGTAAATAGCAAGCCCAAAGGGAAGTGGTAGGGTTGTGAAGTTATTAGATTGTTCTCTCTCCCACACAGCAGAGCAGTCAGTGAACTCTGAGTAAGTGCCACCGAGATAGTGAATCACAGCTTGTTGCACTGCAGTACCTGCTTTTGCCTTTGAAAGACCAGCACTTAACTTCAGCTGTTTGAGCCTTGGCAGTCCTATTCCTGAGGCAGGTATTCTCTCACACTGGGTCTGAACCCTAAATTAGTGCATGCCTCGTCATAAATTATCTTGAGAAGAAATGAGGATACAGTTTCCAGCTTGTGAAGACAGAGTTTTAGACTGAACAAGTCCGTGGCTGCCTTCCTCAGTCGCTGGGGCCATTGCCTCCTTCCTTCTCCGTGTTTTGTAGGAGGTGGTTAAGTCGAAATGTGCAGAGATTAAGCTTTTCCTCTTTTTTTCTTAATATCTGGTTTAGAAGCTTTAGCAGTGCTGTAATAGGTAACCTCTTGAGCTGAAAGAAAACTTCGTCAATAACCCTTTTTGCTGGGAGACCTGTTCTTTATTGGGGAAGGCTGTGGCTACTGTGAGCACTGACAACCAATGGTTCGTTAAAATGGCTGAAAGGGCAGCCCTTGCAAAGCTCCGTTCATTCACTGCGCAAGGCCAGAACGACAGACCTTGCTTGGGCTCTGATGTGTAAATCAGGTGACACTCTGAACACAGGCTGCTGACTTAGAGACTGGGCCACATTCAATTTGACCAGCTTCCAGGACCTTGGAGTTTCTAAAGAAAAGGGAGGTATTTATCTAAGTATTCATTTTTAGTTCATGTTTTGTGTTTCTTTTCAGATACATGTAGCCATCAAGGTGTCAATAGACCTTGTACTATACTTGCACAGAGCTTGTCTGAGAAGTTTGTATGTTCAAAGTACAGGTATGTGTTTGCTGAATTCTCTTTTAAAGTCAGTTGTGTAGTAGACTTGAACCAGTCGGCTTTGTACAGAAAGCTGCTGTTTTCTGAAGATAATTGAGGGATGTTTTCTTGAAAGAATGTTGAGTTTGTGCAACATGTCCTCATTGTTTCTATTACTAGTAGATCATAAGAACATACGTTACAAATGAGAGGAGGCCTGTCGAGGTCTTTTGCTTGCTAGTAGCTAATTGTCTGGAGCCATTTCCAAAATTGAGTAGTGCATATATCACTCCCAGAGGTAGTAAAAATATGACACAAATGTCATCTGAATCAAATTTTAAACATTTGATAAATCGGATAGTTACATATATTACAGTTTTAAACATGCACGCAAGTCTATGAGTTTATAGTTAAATATTTCATATTTATATTACATTATGTTAACACAAATACTGGATAATTAAATGAAATAAACACCAGTAAACTGTAATTAGAACTTTGACAAGTTATGCTTTTGGCTTTAAATGTAATAAGTGCGCTGGCACACTGAGTAGAACATTTAGTCGTATGTATTGCAGCTGTGAATCTCAGCTCTCCTTTTGAAGTGATTGAAGTTGCTGCTCTGGGGTTGCGCTCATGTCTGAGGTGCTCTGATGAAATGGTTACAAAGCAAATGACTCAGTGATGCCATTTTATATTAGTGAGATGTGAAAACGTGTGAAGAGCGAAACTGGAAAGCTAATTCTGTTGAGCCACAAAACTGAGTAGCTTGTAGCAAGTACACCTTACTCTGACCGTATTTAAAACAGATTTAAATATTCCAAATATGTTTCATCATGAGGTTAAAAGTTTTAATTTTGAGAAGGAGCACAGTCTGCTGCTTTTTAGAAAATTAGTGTTTGTTTCACTTGTTTGAAGTGGATCAACAGGTGGCCCAAGTCTGGGTTGAACTCTGGGATCCCGGGTTCGAGCCAGGGTCATCTCACTAGCCGACTGTGACTGGGATTCGCCAGGGGTGGGATGGTGTTAGTCGGCCAGGGCTTTCTGAGCTCTTCCGATCCCCTGGGCGCTGGCAGGAGGGTGGTGCTCGCGGGGAGGGCCGCGCCCCTTCTCCAGTCAGTGCTGAACCTCCAGCAGGGGGCAGTGTGTCCGGTGATGTGTGGAAAGATGATTGGATCTCAGGTGGGAGAGCTGGAGGCGCCTTATTCATCCCTGTGTATGGTCACAGGGTTCATAACTGCGAAACAGCCTCTTATCACTCCTGTTTTGGAAAGGAGTCAGTGCTGAAGACATTGCTGCTTTCTGTTTTTAGCTATGCTTTCAAGGGTGTTTAAGCTAAATATATATATAGCATCCCACTTTAAAAAGAAAAGGCTGGTGGAAGTACCAGGTTAGAACTGCTAACATTTTATAGTAATATAGAATTTGGATTCACAACCTTCAGATTTTGAAAAGGGGAAAAAAAAAGTTTCTCCATTGAAAGATTCTTGCTTGCATTGCATTGCTTGCTCTCTACTGCCTTGAGAAACTTTGTCTTGAGGTGAATTTAAGGTGTTTTTTTCTTCAAGCGAAAATCATGTAAAAGGGGAGACCTGTACCTTTAAGCAGAATTCTAAAATTAGGCAGTGAAGAATGTGGAGAGAAGCTTAATAAAGAGAATTACAACTAAATCACACTTCAGGCACACTATCCACAAACCCATAGAGCAGCATGAGAGAGAGAGGCTGAATATTAAACATGATAAAATCCTAATGACATTCCTTGGAGGAGTGCAGACGCGAAATGTCAGTGACCTAGATTGAGATTGGAGCGCCTTCCTGCTGAATCTTTTATAGGGAACAAAAATTGGAGCAAATTTAATTTACTGTAGCCAAGAGCTGAACTAGGTGGAGAGAATGAGGAGGGGCAAGGGGTGTGAGGTGGGCAAAGAAACCAACCTTTATTTCTTTGCATGGAAAAAACACTTATTTCCCAAAAGTTGAGTTTTGCACAATCATTTTCTACTTATGCATCAACATCAAAGACTATTGTGAGTTACTGCTTTTTCTTTTCCAGTACTCAGTAACCAAGGACACTGTGACACAACCTTTACTGTTTTTCCATTCTCAGTAACAAGCTGTACACTGTCCAAATGACCCCAGTGGTCAAATAAGAGCGTAAGAAAGGCTGCAAATGAGAAAGGGCCATTAGGTGCACCTGGACCATTTGGTAAATAAAGACTTGTGGAGCTTCACATTTAAACAAATTCCACAGTATTTCAATTTAAAACCTGTATACCATACCGACTGCTATTATAATGACCTAAAGCAGCCATGAGCCATGAGGAACGTTGTTAAAGAATTGTAAAATAGCACATAAAACTGTATCTACCTGCATTCATACCATCAGGGCTGGTACGTGATTCAAAATTTTAATTTAACAGAGGCAAATTTTGAAAAGCATAATTTCTACAATAGTTCGAAAACTGCAGCCTGTCTCTGTCTGCAGGTCACTTATGTGTTAGCTAGGCTTTCACAAAGGATCGATACAAAACAACATGCTCTTGGGTCTTCCATTACTATTTAATTTTTCTTGTGTTCATTGGTTAGTTTAGGCAACACCATTCCTAATGATCCACCAAGTGTTCATTTGAAGAAACTCCCGAAGGCCCCACCCTGAGCTTCACCTGTTCTCCGTCCCTTGGTGGGGAGTTAGAATTGCACCAAATGCATTTTACAATAAGTGATTAAAATGGAATGAAGTTGCTTAGCAAACATAATTTGCTTTCAGTTCTTATTAATGTTATATTTTGCGGGCAAGACGATTAACCACTGCTAAGGAGGAGATCTCTCGTGTTCGATTCCGTTTCTCACCACACTTCTGCTGGGGAGCATCAAAAGCATTTGCAGACTGCATTTAACCAAAGGCTACTGCGGGTACCCATTCCATCAGCCATTCCTGAAACATTTCCATGCCAGGAAGCAGCTCTGTATAGAGACCTCTCTGATGTCTGGATTACAATGTGATGCTTGCTTCTGTACTTGCATGGTGTGGGACTTCTCGTGATACCTTCCTGTATAGTTAGTTTGTACGTCTTCATCTTGTTAGACTTGCATGTTGTCCTGCTGAATGTTAAATTTTGCCTTTGTCACCAATTAGGGGTTTTAAAGGACTGGTTCAGCATCTAGAACTTAGCTATATCTATGCAGCAGACACATGTGTGGTGTGTTTGATAGTCAATCCAACCTAATTTCTGAAAGTAATTTTCCCGTAAACCTAATGCTTAAGGACACTTTATTATTTTTGCAACATAAATACAATTGTACACTTTTCTGGAGCAACCTCACTGACACATACTTCCTTTCAAAAGATGATTAGCAGTCATTGTGTTCTCACTAGATCCCAGTGTAGCAAAACATATTCATTGCCCTCTTGGTATAGGATTTTTTATCTAATTGTTTATAATAATTATTTTTAAATATTGCAGTTGTGATTATTGTAAACAAAAACATCTTTACGCTGCAAACAATATTGTCGGACATCTTGTTTAATAACCAGATAAAATGATTGTGGAGCTATATAAAGATTTTCAGTTGGGAAAAGGCAGGACTGGATTGGGAGTTCAGTCCCTTTAAATTTTACTTGAGGGACTGATGATGCCAGACTCTCAGTGGCTGAGCTGTGAAGTGAAAAGCATCACACCTTATTTTGTAATTATCAGGTTTTTATTGAGTTTCTTTTGGCCAAATGCAACTATGAAAAAATACCAAGCTACAAAATAAACACTGAAAACATGGAATACAGTTGTTATTCTTAAACTTCTAGTGTTATGTGTTTACATAATAACTTGAATTATAATTTGTTTGCTTGATCGTGTACCACCACAGGTTTTGACCACTTTATGTAGAATTACTCCAAGACCGAGATCATAAAAACAATAAAGACCAAGGAAATAGAAACAATACTCCTCATTCATCAGCGCTGGTGAGTCTACAATGCCCCCTCCTTGTGAGAATAACAAAATAAAAGTCACCTTCTTGCAAGAGCTTACACAAATGGGATAGACAATTTTGGCAGTATATCCTTTTTTAAGTATAAGAAGCTGATTACCTTGTCACTATTTATAAACGAGTTGCCTGAACATGGGAGCACAGCACTAAAAACTGGTAGTCAATTTGGAAAACCTTGTTTGCGCTGCTTTGACTCTCTAAGAAATATATAGTAGCAGAACTGTGTAAAAAGCCACAGATAAAAACATTACTTGCACAGTTTGATATCTAGGAATCTATTTCGTTTAGAATCCCTCTGATGAGCCGAGCTGATCCTGAAGTAATGACTGGATGCATTGACCTATTAAAGGAATGAGGATTCATGGTGTTTCCACAGAGCTGCTTTGAAAAACTGCAGAGAACTGAAATACATTATTTTCTGAATATCTGTATTGTTTACCCACTTCAGATGAGCTCCTCTAGTTCTGATACACACTAGTGGGGATGTGATTTAATTCTGGGTACACTGACAATAGGCTTTCTGGAACCTTTATTGTACATAATATTCAAAATATTCAGAGCTTTATAATGAGAAGGGGAGTGGGTTTAGGGTTCGTTTTAATTGCTGGATTTGTCACGATCAGCACAGTTTCAGTGTTATGTATTGTGTGCGAGCTCAGACATTGTCATGTTTCTTTAATCTGTTGAAGTGCATAATACATTATCCCTGTTTTGCTTTTTTACATCTGTACAAGCTCGTCGATGAAAGGATTTGTTCATGTAAAAGGAGTCCACCCTTCATTATGGCATTGGGCACTCCGGCCCTGTCTCCTGATGCCACAGTGTTCCTTCAAAGCAGCCTTTTCCTCTTTTCATGCTTCTCTCCTCTCTGAATGGCGTGGGCCCATCATAAGGATACCTTGAGCGCGTTTAGTGAAGGTGCCTGGTAGCATTTTTCTCTGGCAGAAAGAGATGACAAATTAAATATGCAAATAATCTGAAGTGGGCCATGTAGCAGTATCGTGACTGAGACAAAATGTCCTTTCACTAGGGGGCATTTTCCTGTAACCTGTGACTCTGTGCCGTCTCTGTAGGTTTTGTAGAACTCGGCTTGTTCTGTTACCGTGTTTTTTGACATTTTAAGCTTGGGACAGTTGCAGCCTGGATAGGACACCATGCAATTGAAGGATATTCGGAGAGACTCTTTTGGGACATTAATTAACCTAGATTGCATGTCTCTGGGAGATCCCTTCAAAATGTATTATTACTTACAGTATAAAGGCATATCATTTTTTTATCTTTTATTCTCAATGTGCAATATTGTTACGTGTTAAGTAATGCAGAATGATTGATAAATCATTTTTTAGTTTGCTATTGGGTTTATCATGGGAAGAGATCAACAGCCAAAGAGATCTCTCCAACACTGGAAAAACTGCAGGTCAGGGATTCACACTGGGTATTGGACTGGTGAAGTGTGTTCTGTCCAAAGCAATAGAGCTCACAGACACTGCTATTGGCCTTGCACATTATATCTTTTAACAGATATAACAGGACAGGCTCCGGGTTTCTGTTGTTTTTTTCTAGTTTATCATCTCGTCACAGGTTTTCTCAGCCTTGTGCTGTGTGGCGCAGAAAGCATGACACGAACCGTTTGAAATTGACCCACAGTAATATCAAAGCGCTTTCTGTTAACAAGTACTAAATAGATCTGCACACTAAAGCTGATTCTTTGCAGCAGAAGGTTGACTTCATTCTGATTAAGTACAGAAATTTAAACCAAATCCCAAATCTGCTCCACATGTGCCTTTAAAACCAGACAATAATAATAATACTTTAATTGGATTAATTTGGTGTCTTTGTATAAAATATTAACTCAAAGTGTTATACAATAAAAAAGAAAAATAAATATAAACAAAATACATCACATTACAATCGATACCATGAAATCTCTAGCAATGTCATTTGTAACACATAATGTAACATGTAATGTGTAATGTGTTTTCTGTATGTGAAAACACACAGACACACAATTCCTGGTCTCATGGAGAAGAGTTTTTCATAGCTCAGATGTGGAGGAATTCAGTAAGGAAAGACAATAGTAATGATGTGTTCCTATAATAGGATAGGGCAATACTGCACCTTGTAACCAAAAAGAATTAAAAACAGGAAAAAGTCATTGTTAAGTTGGCAAACTGAAAATGCTGTATATAGTTTTGAAATAAGGTCCAGATAAAATCAGAATTTCCCACCCAGTCACAGATTGGGCAAACAAACCAAGGATGTGCTTGTGGCGTTTTTTGTGTGAGGCTCCAGTCAGAAGCCCACCGTCACGTTCCAGAGTGGAAAGCTACAATGTCCGAGTCGAATGTTTGACTTAAACCCGGACCCAAAACAAGGAGCTGTGGGAGGTTCAGCCGTTCAAACGTCTTTGCACAGTGATCTTTGCCGTTAAGTGTTTTCCGCAAGTTCCTTCAGCTGAGTGGCTGGATGCAAATTTGACAAAGGTAAAATTACAGGTCTGAAAATAAGAGGAAGGCAGGAATGAGAAGGTAATCGTGAGTAATGTATTCATTTTACTTACCCCAGGAAGTGAGCTTTCCCTCTGGAGGGAGGGGGGGCATGGGAAAGATCTTAACAGGGAAGCCCAGCATGTAATTAGAAGTGACAGAGCAGGACCATGGGCTGAGCATGTTCAATTTTGCTCGGTGGAGGCAGTAGGCCCTGACTCCTGTTCCACTGTGGGTTCTGCAGTTTCGCTCATCCCCAACGGCAACTCCCAAGTCTCCCTTGTGATAAGAGGCACGCTGAAAGAGTCACATTGCTGCTTTAATTGCGAAAGGACTGGATCAGAAGGGGAAGATGGTTATTCTGTAAATCTTAAAATAGTGCTCAGCTGAGTCATTCTGTGAGGCTGCTGGACTGTTTCTTAACCGTTTACTTGCCTAATTTTTCTTTGGACAATATTTTGAGGGCCATGTCCAATTTCTGGTCATCTATGGACATCTCTGTTTTTTTGTCAGCTGTGTCCTATTCTCTTGCTGGCCTTCTCACTTTCTTTTCACCATCTCCTTAAATACGCACAGTTAAAATGCAGATCATATTTTCTTATGATCCTCGGCGTCTTGCAGAGTTCGTCCAAAGTTTTTCAGAGGTGCTGACAGAGAAGTGGAATGAAGGTCCAAAAACTGGAGAACTGATCATGCAGAGCTCTGACACTCGGGTTCTGGTTTCCCTGCATTTACTGCCCATTCTTTGTGTGTTTGGTGTTCCCGCATATAATCAATTCAGTCCTGATACAAGGCCAGTTTTGTGGATTAAAAGTGCTTTTGAGAAAAAAAATAGTCTTTATATTTTTTTCCAGGAAACAATTTCATGCAGCATGCGATCGTTCCCGTTAAATGGAAGAATTCATGAATATTGCATGTAGTTATGCTCCTTTTATAATTTAATTAAAACTTCACCAAACATTACGAAGTGCAGGAGCTGTGTGGAGCAGACGGGAATGCATTCTAAATCAGACAGATTACTGTGTTCCCATAGTCCCTGCAGTGAAATGAGACCCCGAGCTTTGCTTTACGTTTGGAAGCAAGAAGTCTTTCACGGGATAAATATCGGGTCTGGCACATGGATATCGGTGAGCTACAAACTTATTTAAATGCCTAAGAAAATGTAATGTTCTTAAGGACAATGTTACTCAAAGGAGATAACAGTTCACTGTCTCAACTCTGTTACTGCTGCACATGGGGCTAACTAGGCATTCTAAACACATGGCTAATTATTCTTATCTGCACGAGAACGAGGAATTCTGAACACGACCATGAGAGTCGGCTCTCCAGTGCTCAAATAAGCTTTTAAGCTGTGAAATATTTTGACTTCCTCTGTCAGAGGAGAGAGCGTACCCCAAATTCCCTCCGTGCGCGTTCTGCTGTGCTTTGTCCTTTCTCCCTCCCTCTCTAATGGAGGGGAAGATGGGCCCTTTTCATGCAGCACGTGCACGTACAGACCCTTCCCCCACCGCCGAGAGGAGTAGCTCATTGTTAGAAGCCAGCGTGATTCCGCGTGGCGACTGTGCCACTCGGTGCAGCTCTTTTGGAGAGATTTACTGGTGAAGACTCTTGGTGTGTGCTGAGAAGCTGTCATGCCAGGCATCTTTGTAGGGACAAAGGTGGCCTTTTTAATCCATTTTTATTGTTTAAGCCTGGTTGCATGGCTGGGGAAAATGAACGGATCTCTTATTAACCGTCCCCCACTCACCTCTTCCTGCAGAAAGCCATTTCAGGCTAATGAAATGATGGAAATAGCCAGTAAAGGGCGATTGTAAGAACAAGGAGCAGGTCCACGTGAGTGATTTCTCAAGTGCTTCGGGAGGTGTGGCGGGTCATGTTATGAAGGCCCGTGGTTTTGTGCATGTAAGCTTTACAACTGGATCCTTGACTTTGAAGCAAATACTGTTAATCACAGACTAAAGAGTGCTTAAACATGTCGATTTCTTTCCCAAATAAAACAAATCCAGCATGAAAATTCCTCTTTTTCCTGGAAAGGGTTGTGGGAACACGGAGTCTTATCTTGGAAGCACAGATCACACCCTGGGAAAGATGTGGGTGTGTCACAGGATAGACAGACACCCCAATAATTCCTTTTTTATTTGACACTCAGAGGCTAGAGTTGATAGCTCCATTGAAAAAGGAAGAAATGAAAGTGTCGGTCTTAAGAGTTTGTCCAGGAATGGACAACTCTAGGTTTATGGAACAGGATAGCGTTGGATAATTGACATCACCTCTTGTTCAGGTGTAACCTTTTGTTTGTCAATAGAGAAACGCCAGTCAATATGACAGCAATGAGAAAGGATTTCAGTGGTGCTGACGATTTGATTTGGACTGTTTTTACTTTTTTTATACTGCACCGCTTGTTTTAACACAGTGAGCATTTAAAACTTCACTGTAAAGATGCATAGATTTGTAAATATGTGATGAAATGTTTGACAAGTGGTTTTTTGACTTACCCTTAATCAAATGTTATTATTCTTTGAGGAACATTTCTGAGATATCGAGAAGTTGAATTATTTTGCTGTTCTGTGCAGGAGTGGGTATTTCCAAGTGGAATTTTGTCTCTAATGTGTGCAACTCATGGTCGTGTCTATAGGTTGAAAATGGTTTCCAGCAGCACTTCAGCATCAGAATCTTGGTATGGTGGTAATCACAAACTGTAGAATGTGATATAATTAGCATTGTTAAGTCTGCATGAAGTCAGCTCTGTCTTTCAGGCATTTAAAGTCTTGAAATCTATTTTCAGATTCTGCTGCAAATTAGAAAAGAAAAAAAAGTTCAGTACTGTAATTTGTACTGATGCAACACACTTTAATTCAAAGCAGCACTTTCCTTTTATATTGGAATAAACATGTGTCTTGACCATTCTTGAATTACCGTGTATTCTGTGTGGATGAGTGCAAGAGTAAACACACCCACTCCTGCATTTTAGTTTTTAAGAGGAATTCCGTTTTGTAATGTAAGCGTACCGTTTTTTCAAGGAACGCAAATGTACTCCTTAAACTGAAGATCTGATGCACAGAAGTAATGCCTTGGTCATTTTACACTCATAAGTGTAAGAGATTTAGAAGATAGATTTAGACAGTTTAGTGTTTTGTCTTGTGTTCTAAGATGGCCACGCCAAGAATGGTCATCTGTGTATTCTTAAAGATATTGTGTGAACTGCAAGACAGGGTCACCCTTTTGATATTTTCTCAGCTGAATCAAGTCGCAGTGAATGAAGTATAGAGCTTTTGCCATGTGGCTTCAGAGCTTGTGATTTGTCATACGTCCCTCAGATTACTGATTTTCTTCTGCTCAGCCACAGCCGTGTCTTTTGACCAGACCATTAAATGGGCTTTTTGTCTTTTCTTTTTAAAGGACAATAATGTCTATTCATTTGGGAAAATTTGAGTCTGCCCCCAGCCCTCTGCTGATTTTTAAACAGGCTGAACTTCTGACTTGACTCTTTCAGCATCAGTGTGGGCTGTAAACCCTTGTCTCCGCTGTCCCGCGTGGGTGACGGGATTCACAGCTGGACACACTGTGGAGGAAAAAAGCCTGGAATGAAATTGAAAGCTGCTTAAGATACATGCTTTGCAATTTTTCTGTGGTATTTAGCCTGCAAACATGATTGTTTACTACTCATTGCCTGCAATAATATCCCATTTCCAGTTGAATAAGTGCCCAGTTTGTGCGTTTATGGCATTTTGCAAGCTAGAATGTACAGTGCTGTTTCAGATATGTTTCCTTTGATTACTAAGCTTATTCACATCTGCGTTTAATTATGTGCCAGAAATACAGTGACACAACAAACCAGGGGAGTGATGTGACAGGTGTCTGGCTCTAGGGTTAATGGCAAGTGTGGCCGCCTTGTGGGACCTCTCTTCACCTGTCAGCTCCTGGAGAGACGATACACATTCCTTTGGACCGCCCTGTACATCCACTGGACATAGTCTGCCTGACAGTGCTCGAAGAAGGGGCTTCACAACTGACAAGGCAATAAATTCATCATACTGACTACGGTACAGCAACACCTAGTTGCTTTCATCCTCAGCATACCAGAATCTTACATTTGTCTTTATGGTAGTAGGGTAAATCAATGCTCCATTGCGTTGAGAAATGGTTTATGAAAATGCCATAAGTGTCCTGCCAGGACTATTGTATTGTTACAACTGTTAAGGTAATTATAACTCTGTCAGATTGCAATTTCTACTTAAGTTCTTATGCAGTTGTCTAAAATGTCACCATTTCTTTTCTGATCATTGTATCAATATCAACATACTGTATTTGGAAACTGAGTTTCTCTTAAGACTTTTTTTCTGGCAGACGTCTTACCCATTCGGGAGAGAATGAGACACGTAGACCTGCAGAGCTATTGTGAGCTCCATAGTGCCTGACAGGAGAGTCACGGCAGGTGAGAAAAGCACGACACGTTGACACCGCAAGACTAATTGGGCCACTTGGTATCGCCCTTTTGTGTTTTGTTCTATTAACACGCCAAACTAAGAACAGAGAAAATATCGCAAAGAGAAACTATTTACACATCCAACTAATTTCTACATTTTAAGTATAGGCAGAGGTGAATTTACAAGCAGGAAAAAAAAATTGGCGCTCTAGTCTTTAAGGCTGGCTGCGCTGTAGCTTCCCGAATTCGGGGTTGTCGTGGTGAGAGTTTGTTCACGTTGTGAAACTGGCCTGCCTTGACAACTGTTCATGAAAGCACATCTCTGCACGTCTGTGAAATCAAGGAGTATCCCTTGTAAATGAGGCCGTGAACCATTTTCCCAGGGCTAAAAGGATAGGAACAGCACAGTGAATTGATGTGGCTAGTTATTTAGCTCTGCTGGGGCTCACAGGACAGGTGAAGATGCCCACAGAGTGTGTAAGCAGTGGCCAATTAGGGAGGTAGCACTGGGGAATGGAGCCTCTTTAGCCCATGCTGAGACTTTCTGTAATAGCAGCTTTCAAAGAGGTCTTATGAGGAATATTGGTTTCGGAGAAATACAGGAGAAGATGTATTAATAAATTAGACATTTTTTCTTTATTAAAACTCTCGCAGGGAGATTTCTCTCTTCTAATTATTTCTCTTCCTTTGAACTTTTCTCCAAACAGGAGAACATACATTTTAAATTGAATTCACTACAGGGCCTGTGATGAAGTGGCATATTAACTTATTAGTTTAGGGGAGTTCAAATAACTTTGAGCTGCTGTTAGAAATATTGCCATGAAGCTGTCTTAGAGGTGTGATTAAGCTCTCCTATATATAGCCGCTTACATTAATGAAATGTTTAAATTCTGTGTTTCTGCAGAATTCCTGCCTGTAGGTTTCACG